GGCAGTCACCTGTCCACGTACCACTTAATGCACGTGTGTCAGTGTGCACGGCCCCTCCTGGAGGTGCACGCAGACACTCGTGCGCGTGGAGAAGGAGCCGTGCAGAGGCGAGGCGGCCCTGCAGCTCCTCACACCTCAGGGGCGCTGCGTTCTCTTTGGAGGGTGGTGGCCAGCCAGGCTGGGTCCTGGGATGGGGAGTCTCTCTCACTTGGACTTTAGTTTCTTTGAAACTGAACAAATGTGGACAAGTTGAGGATCGAGTTGGGCTGGTTGTCCTGTAGAAACCAGAGAAGCAGGATGAGCCTCCCTCAAAACCGGGCGGAACCAAGGCTGAGATCTCAACCCAGCGCAGTACCCCGGCCCTGGGCGGGGAGGCAGGGCCGGAGGGGGACAGGGACTGCCTGCTGTGGCTGCAGCTCCTCCCGCTGCTGTGATTCCCAGGGTGGGGGTCTGCCTGTGCGGGTGGCATCCAGGTCTTCCCCAGGATGTGCTTGTGCACTTGGCATGTGTGCCTGTGTGTGGGGGTGGGGGCCGGCTGACCAGTCGTGGCAGGAGGCCAAACCCCTCCCTTGCCCACACCATCCTGGCACTGGCTGTGCTCACAAGGCACCTCCGTGTGGCAGGTAGGGAGCAGATGGGGACATACCTCTGAGGCCTCCGAGGCCTCCCTGAATTAGAGCAGGGTAGTGATCGATGCTAAGGGTGGTGGCCTCGGGTGCAGGTTCCATGGCGCCATCTTGGTAAGCAGGCACTGACCACGGTTCCTGGGGGCAACCACGTGAAGCCACCACGTGAGGCTCAGGCCTCGGAGGGGACGCACTGCTGCGGTTCCCTGGTCAGTAGGCTGTGGTGGCGCCTTCATGGAGCTTCGGCGAGGCCCTGCTGCTCTCGCGTCTGTGAGCAGAGTCACCGCTGAACGACTCCACTTTGATTTGGAAGCGGAGTGAAGGGTTTACTTCAGTAGGAAAAATGAGTTCACATTTTTCACCTCATTTCAAATAAAATCTTTTTAAGTTAAAAAAAGTATCTTAAAGCTGGGAAGAAATAAGTACATTTCTCAGAATTCCCAGAAACCTTTAAAGTTGCGAGTTCTCCGTGCTGGGTAGTGCCCTTCCCTGCTGGCTCCCTGCCTGTCTGGACTGAACCGACTGTTCTTCAGACACGTTTCCAGGGCAGCTGGCAGCCTGGTGTTGCCGGCCTGACCGTGTGCAGCCTGAAGGGGTGTCTTCCTCAGCCGACTGTGGGCTTGGGCTTTGGAGGAAGCACAGAGATGCACGGGGGCAGTTGGGTGCGTTAGTAACTGAAGTGGTGGGGAAGCTGCTGTGCATGCACTGCGGGGCGATGGTGACATGCCGCAGGGTGCTCACCTGCCCCACCTCCCGTGCAGCTGCAGAGCCGGGGCTGGGGAGGTGGTTTCTGTGACTGTTGTTGCCCATGGAAGCCAAGGGGAAGGAAGTGTTAAGTGAGACACCCGTCTCCATCAGGATAGCTGCAGAAACAGCCTTGTGGTGACAGGCAGGCAGTGACGCCTCTCACCTGCCCACGCCCTCGGCAGCAGAGCTGGAACTGGATCGGGTGTGTTTTCAGTGTGAAGCATTTCCACGCTTGCTGAACCCTGGCTGGAGTGAAAGCGTCAGTTCTGTCCTCACGATTGGGATGTGACAACACTCCCCGGCAGGATGGTGCAGAGTACATGGGGTGTCTGAAGGAAGAGGCCGGCCGTCGGAGAGGAGACTCGTGAAGACGCAGCCCATGGTTGCCTGTGTGGCAGCCTCTGGGACGGCCCCGGGGCTCTGGCCTCCTGGGGCTCCTGTCCCTGTGCATTCATCTCCCTTCAGAGGGGCCAGCCTGCTTCCAACCAGTGTTCTGTAGCTGATGTGATGAGGGGTCACTTCTGTGATTAGCCAGGTGAGAAAGGCAGACTCGTTTCCTTGGCGACAGTGAAGCACGTGGAACCAAGGGCAGCTTCCAGCCCCAGCCAGGTGGGAGCTGAGACCCTCATCTCAGCAATTCCTGAGGGCCGGTGGGGCCACCGCCACTGTGGGCATGGAAGCACATTCTTCCCAGTGCAGACAGGGGGTGACACTCGAACCCTGAACCCTGGCCAGTGCTTCCCTGCAGCCCGAGACAACCCAGCAAAGGGTGCGGTTAAACTGGGCCCAGGCTGAGCCGCAGAAACTTTTTTTAGGCATCTGTGAGTGCGTGGCAGTTTGTTCTGTAATAGTAGGAAGCTAATACACAGCTAGATGGGTTAGCCTGGGCTGCTATAACCATGTACCACAGATGGGGAGACTTCACAGCAGAGATTTATATCCCCGCTGTGGAGTCTGGAGAACGGAAGGCTGAGACCGGGTGTCGGCAGGCTGGTTCCTCCTCAGGCCTCTCTCCCTGCGGGCAGATGGCCATCTCCCCGCACGCACGGGCTCTCTCTGCAAGTCCTTTGTCTGACCTTTCTGATAAGGCCACCAGTCATATTGGAGTGGGGCCCACCCTAATGGCCTTATTTTAACTTCACTGCCCCTTTACAAGCCCTCCCTCCAAATGCAATCCTATTGTGAGGTGGTTAGGACCGGAACGCGTGATTTCACAGAGGACAGTGAGGCCATCAGGGCAGGCCCCGTGGGTTCTGGGATCCCTTTTCCACAGCTGAGACTCTGCACCATTTTTGTCAGTAAAGGTCTTTTACTACCTTGTTTATCTTTGTTTTAACATAATTACACATGAATGAGATTGCTGCTATGTGTATTAATTTCTGTTAATGATTATATTCTATGTCTCATGGTTTTGCATATATATTTGTGTATCTCCATAACAAAATTGTAGATCCTGGGAGCACAACTTTTCACGTGCTCCTGTGTGACACTCTGCAGTGTTACAGGTGTGTTAGGTACACTTCCAGAACCTGTGTTTTATGTTTAGTTGTCTATTTAAATAAGAATACTTTAGAAGTAGCTTTTCTTAAGAATGAGGCGATGGGGCCTTGAAGAATTTGCATATATTTGAAGTATGAGCAGTTTCAGATAGTGGTACGGCCGGAGAGTGTCTGTCTTTGCATTTGGCCATTTGGAGATAGTGAGCACCCTGTCAGACCCCACCCAGTGCTGCGCTGGTTCATTCCAACACTTTTCTTTGGGCTCTTAACAAATAGTTTCCCAAATTACTTACCTGCAAATGGTAGAGAAAATTATTTTAGGCATAAATATACATTTGTACATTTGTATATCTATACGTGTGGGTCAGTTAGATGAATGTGTGTGTACGTGGGGGCGAGAGCGCAAATGATGACAGTGGGTGAAGTGTTAGGAAGAGGTGTATCTTGATAAATTGTGTACAGGTGTTTTTATATGATTCTTACTCAATTTTTTTGTGTTTCATTTATTTTCAAATAAAAGTATAAAATTTAAATGCTGTCATGTTAATATGTAATGGGTTCATTATTGTTTTTAAATGAATCAAATATATCAGATTTCCTCAGTTGTATTTGTAATAGAGTAAATATTAATAGATCTAATTCACATAAACAGAAGCTCTTTTGGGGTTCTAGATCATTTTAGGAGCATGAAGGGTCTGAGAGCACAGAGCTGAGGGCCAGTGGTAGGGACTCTCCCTGGGGGGTCAGGTTGGTGCCCCCATGTTCTCTTCAGGCTGGTTTATGACATTAGTTAATGAGAGCTGATTGGTAGATGCCCCTTACTAATTTTATAATGTAGAGAAGCAAACTCTCTGTGTTTTGGATTTGTTTTGTATTTGTAAACGAGGGGCAGTAATATTCCCTACCTCAGAGGCTCTCTATCTGTACAAGGGCGCCCAGGTCCTGGCCTCCACAGGGCTGCCGATGCACGTGCTTGTTCTTGCCTCTCTCTGCCCTTCCCATTTGTGCTTTGGCTAGTGACTTTGGTGTAATTACGTTCACATGAACCATGACAGAGACACCCAGGAGAAGCATCAAGTCATTCGTAAAGTGCATGTTTGTAGCGTTCCTGCCCTTCCTAGAATCGCTAGGGGACAGGGAAGGTGAGGACCAAGCAGTGTGGAGCTTGGGGTGTCCGTGGTGTGAGGAAGAGCATGGCGACCGAGGACGGTGGCGAGGACAGCTGTGGGAGCGTGGCTGACAGGAAATGTGTCCGGAGAGGGAGCACGTCTCCCTCGGCCAGGCTGCAGCGAGCCCTACTCGCCTGGTTCCATGGGTGTCCCAGCTTCCAGAAATGCACCCTGTTTCCCTGTGCGTCTGCTGCTTATTTGAATTGTTGCAGCGATATACACTTAGGGGAGAGAAGAAAAGAACACCATTTAAAAAAATATGACATTGATTTCAGAGAGGAAGGGAGAGGAGGGAGAGAGAGAAACATCAGTGATGAGAGAGTTGTTGTTGATCGGCTGCCTCCTGCAGGCCCCCTACTGGGAATCCAGCCAAAACCCAGGCATGTGCCCTGACCGGGAATCGAACCCTGATATCCTGGATCCTAGGTCGACACTCAACCTCTGAGCCAAGTTGGCCGGACAGAATAGCACTGTTTTGTGCCATTTTCACTGTTTTCCAGCATGAAATCAATGAAAAGGGAAGAAAATTAGGTTGCTAAAAATTATGTTGTGTTTATATAACTCCATATTCAAATGATTAGTTTTTATTTTTAATTTTTATTTTTTAAAATATATCTTTATTGATTTCAGAGAGGAAGGGAGAGGGAGAGAGAGAGAGAAACATCAATGATGAGAGAGTCATTGATCGGCTGCCTCCTACACGCCCCGACTGGGAATGGAGCCCGCAACCCGGGTATGTGCCCTGACTGGGAATCGAACTGCGATCTCCTGGATCCTAGGTCGATGCTCAACCGCTGAGCCACGCTGGCCAGGCCCAATGATCAGTTTTTAAGAAGAAATCAAAGGACAAGTAACTGTGCAGGCTTTCTGTCATCAGGGTGCAATGTTTATTGCCCTTTAATCTTTTCTGCCAACGTTGTGATTTATTTTTTTTATTTTTTTGTTTTTGTTTTTAACAGATCATCAGAAACTGGAACGGGAAGCTAGAATCTGCCGTCTTCTGAAGCACCCCAATATTGGTAAGCACCCCAATATTGGTGATGGAATGGGTCCTCTGTATTTAGATGCCAATTAAAGTTTTCACCACAATAAAATGTTTATTTAATAACCTAGTATTTGCAACTGTTATCAAATAGGTTCCTAACTTTTAGTCTTGATTACATTTGATTCTTTAAAGTTTTTTAAGTTTTTCCAGAAATAGCCGTTCTATATATACTGACATTTAAAAGCTCATATAAAGTATTCTTAGTTGCTGATGCCTCTGTATGTCTTCAAGGATTATTCAGCTGCAGCCGGTGAAGTTGGAGAGACAATTTGCGCCATTATTTTAGTTGCCTAAATTACTCTTCCTCTGTCCTGTAGAAGGTTTACCTTGTAATCTCTGATTCTATTCCAGAAACTAGTAAAATTATTTTAGAACATTCTCTTGAATTTTAAAATAGCATGGTAATGTTCAAAATAGAAAATCGATGGATATGAGAAACATAGAAGAAAGAAACAGAAGAAAGAAAAGGCAAGAACAACTTACTATGCTAGATGCTGCAGCAGTGGTTCTGGTCATTTTGGGGAAGTGCTGCTGGCCCAGCTCTGTCAGAGTCCTTCCCATGTGGAAGCGAGGGAGGAGGCGGTGCAGGAGAGTTTGCAGACCACTCAGAGGAGGCTTACAGCTCTGCCCTTGCTGTGTGCAGGCCCACTCAGCTTCCGTTCCTGCCTGGGAGTTTTCTGTCCTGCTTCTCATGGGCTTTCTGAGGCAGTAAACCTGAAGCATTGACCAGCTGGCCGCTGTCTAACAGGGACGTGGTTGGGCATGTGAGCATGTGCTGTGCTCCATTGCACAGGGAACAGCCTTTGCTCTCCTTCTTGGAACCGACGGAGTGATAGCTAAGATGCAGGGACTCTGCCCTCCCCTTCCTCCACTTTATCATGTGCTCAGTTTTCTTAACTCTCAGGTGTTAGAACTTCCAGGGTGGAATTACTATATTGGACAATTTTTCTCCTGGGAAAACTTGCTACGTTTTTATTTTTGTGTGTGCTCTTCTCTTGGCACAGAAGCGATAACCTGAGAACTTGCAGCCAGGAGAAGGTTTCTCCCAGAGAAACACCTTTGAAACAACGGCGGCTCCTCAGTGCTTTCTCAGTGTTCCTCTGATTTTCACAGTGACCCACACACTTAGTGGAAAGTCCTTGGAACAGTCATGTGTGAAGAAGAAACCAGAGGGAACAGCTTTTAATACTTGTGATTATTTCCCCCACTTTATAATAAATCTCATGTATATGTTAACTTCCAGCATTCTCTTGTGGGCATTTCCATACCCCTTTAAATAAACCATGAAGATGTAATTTTTAATTGTCTCACTCCTCAAAATGGACTGAGTGTGGCCATTGCCAGGCCACGTTCTAGCCTCGTCACTGTGGTGATGAAGCAGCAGTGATCCCACAGACAGCCCAACCGCCACAGTGACATCCCAGGGATTGCTTCCCTGCAGAGAACTGAATCGGGACAATTGGATTCCAGGAGACTTCGTGGCTACCGTCAGAGACACAGTCATACCACGTTAAAGCGATAGATATTATCCATTATTCCTGCGGGGCGTGGGGTGGAGAGCTGAGCTCAGGGCTCAGTGCAGCAGAGCCCCCTGGGGACCGAGAGCCCTGGAGAGCCAGGGAGCAGAGCCAGGTGCTGGTGGAAAATGACTAGGAGGAGACATCGGGCGGGGTCTTGCTCAGCTGGCCGAAAAAGGTTCTTGTTAGAGGCATACCCAGGACCAAGACGCCAAGGGTGGGCGATGAGGAACTTGGTCACGTGTGGGGGAGGGAGGATAGCCCAGCAGGAGCCTTTGCTCAGATTCCTTAGGCAGGCTGAGGGCCCCAGAGGGCCCGGGAGCCTGTGTGCAGAGAGGGCCTTAGTCCTGCTGTAGAAGCTTGTAGCGCAGGTGTCTGAGGACGTCGCATCCAAACCGACAGGAAGTTCATCAAGAAAAAACACAAGGAGAAGGGGTTCAGACAGAGGGCCTGGGCCTTCCCTTGTTAGGGGAAGAGTTGGGGGACCAGCGTGTGACCTTCCCTGGGTGAAAGGGGTGATGACTGAGGTTGGATAGGGCTGTGTAACCAGCTAGTGTTTGCCTTTCATTCTAAGTGCTGTGGGAAGCCAGGGCAGGGTCTTAATTAAGCAAGGGGAGCGTGTCACCGTCTGACCCGCCGTCCGCTGTGCTTGAAATGTCGTAGTCACACGAGGGCTCCGTCAGTTCCTCAGAACCCAGGGTGCACCCCCCAGCCCCAAGCTCCTTGTTCCTGGGTGAGAAGGCAGATGGCTGCAGCCACTGTCTTCAGGAAGCCCGCGCCGTCCGTGAAGAGCACCAGGCTCCTCCAGGCCCCGTGGATGGGAGAGAGCGGGCAGTGCCCTCCGCAGCCCCCTCTCTGCCCGGCCTCAGAGCCTCGGGCCAGGGGGCCGTGTGGCCCCGCGGGGAAGCGTGGCGTGGACTCTAGCTCGGCGCTAAGGCGTTGCACAGTTTGGAGAGGACATCCTGCCGCACTCAGCAAGATGTTCTCTTAGCTCATTTTTTGATCATTTTGTATCTTTTATTTTCACAAAATAGACTTATTTCCTCTTGAAATTTGGTAAACCAAATTGTTTGAGCTATGTCAACATATGTACTAAGTAAGGGAAAAAATACATTTAAGGTAGCGAATTAAAATATTTGAGGTAATAGCCACATTGTTTTCAAAGTTACTCTGTATTTCCATTGATTTTGTGCTTGATCTTTGATAAGCATCACTATTGAGAAATTTATTGAAATCTGTGGTGAAGCCCAAATAACCAAAACAGTCGGAGAAACTTGGAAGGAAGGCAGAACTCTCATCCAGTGCACCCGTGTGCGTGTGAGAACAAGCGCGGCGAGAACTGTGGCCCCGGCGTGTGAGGACATCAGGTGCGGGCCAGCTCTGCGGTTGGAGGAAGGGTACATTTTGTTGCTGGGCTGTCCCATTCTCTAAAGACCTTAATGTACACTGTTGACTTGAGAAAAGCAATACATTTTTTTGAAAGTTTGAAGAAACATACCTGCAGAAATCCACACCAGCCCTGTAAGGTAGGCCTTTCCTGACAGGTCCAGGAGGCCTTTTTCATCCTGTCCGGGTTAGTGCCTACGGCCTGTGCAGTGAGGTCACCCGGCTCGCCCACCACAACCCCAGATGCACTGCGTATCATCGGGCGGTAGGAAATTGGGGAAAGTGATCGTCACAGCCTCAGTGGACCTCACTGCCCCTGCCTGACCAGGGCTGTCTGAGCTCTGGAGCGCCTCCCACTTGCCCAGTGGCTTCTACTTGCTCTCTTTGTATTGGAGACAAAATATTTACCGCTTATTTCCTCAGAGAATTATCACAGGGAATTGGATAATTACCAGGGAAGATATATAATGTAAATAGATGGCTGGCATTGATTATGATGGGGCATTACTTACCAAGTACTGCCTAATTAATCATAATTTTTAGTAGGTTTCTTCCTGAGGACAGACATGTAACAGTGGGAAAACCTATTGCAGAAACTTTCATGTACTGTGTATATTGCATGTAATGTAATATATGATGTACAATATATTTCATCAGTCATAATACTGCAGTAACAGAGGTCTTACAGGTTATCTGTACAAACTCTTAATTTTTTTTGCATTAATAACTGAGGAAACTAAAGTCTTCTGAATCTATGTTACTCACCCACGGTCACGGCTGGACAGTGACATGCCAGCCTGAGTCGTGAGACCGTCTATGCAGGAAGGTGGGACAGGCGGGTGCCTGCCTGGCAGCAGCAAGGTTGCAGAGATGTGGCTGATGCTCCCTTTCAAGGAGAATTTTGAAGTTGTTTTGGTTCACATTCATCTCCCTTCCTATAGGATAAATGTTAAGAACTTCTAATGCTAATACAAAAACCAAAACTTAGTTTTGGAGAGAGCATCAATAATACCTGCGACCTCATCTGTTGCCCCGGGAGGAGCCACTGTGCCTCAGAAGGGTGCTGAGCTGACAGCTTTGTCGTCTGCAGGAGCTGACGGGCAGGGGCTAGAGGCCAGAGAAAGCCCTCACTTTCTGTACAGCAGGCGTCCCATGCCTGTGAGTGATAAGTCACGCCATCTGGGGTTATGTAACTTTCGTTTCCTAAAATGTGAACCTGGAGGAGCCCTGGGAATGATCTAGCACATTACTTCCCTGCTGGGAGGTTTCAGTATGAAAGTAAGTGCCCAAGGTCACACACAGATCTCCAGGGGGTGGGAACGCACAGCCTGCTGGGGAACGCACAGCCTGTGTAGGCCCTTGTGAGCACTGCCTGTCTCCTTGCCCTGACCTTGGAGGCAGGTGTCGCCATGATTTAACCCCAGTCTCCCTGGGTTTTGCAAAAATCCGTGGGCCAAATATCATCTTTCTAATTTTTATGAGACAAAAGGAACATTTTTGTTTGTTGATTCGTTTCTAACAAAATTTTACCTTTTAGTTCTACTCTGCATGCAGTTTTCCTCCAAGTTCCTAGAATTTGTAAGGAACCATCCAACTCCTTGTATAATCCAATAAGTATTCATCTTAACTATTCCCAGTAGTTAGTGATCACATGATTAAATTGCCTTGAGTGTCTGTTGCTAAGAGCCCAGTTTGGAACCCTGTGCACAGTCAGGTGGGAAAGGACAGCTGGTGGAGTCAGTGTTCAGTGGGCACTCGGAAGACCGTTGGGCTTTATGAAGGGCGGTCCAGTCTTTCCCACGGTGTGAGAACTCCAACGGCATCCCAAGAGCAGTCCTCACAGTGTTCTCCGCAACCTCCCCCGGCCATCGGGTGATGCCTGACATCACACAGTCTGTAATTACACTAGAATAGGCAAGGTATATTGCCACACAGCCTCCCCTAGTGACTCCCAACAGGTACAAGGTAATTTAACACTATTCAGTAGTAAAAAGCAAAGTATGCTTATTTAAGTTCACCCTTTATTTGATTCAATCTCACCTCGTGTCTTGATTGTTTGGTGTGGAGGTTT